AGACTCGGTCCGTGGTCACAAAAATGCTAGAGCCATCAGAAGATCTAAAGGACACACACACTAGTATGCATGCCCAGATACCGATCGTTTTCTTTTGTCCTTTTGTATGTTTCCTGTCCTATTGATTGTGGTGACATTCCCCCCATTTTCGTGGTGAGACGTACTAGACACTTTGTAGGTGATTTATTCTCTGGGTTGGCGTCCGGACACACCTCTACTTTAATGAATGTTCGTTTTCGGGTGAAAATGGTCGTTCACCCCGGGCACAGCGTTGAAAGCTTGGAAAGAGCGTTCCCCGGGAGCGCATACAGTGATGGTGGATGGTGTGGACTCACCGAAATGGTCCGGTCGTAATAATACTTGACACCTGACAACAACGTGAAGACGTGACCACCAACCGTTGATCCCGAAGCTAAATAAACTGCTGTATGTAACTTACTCCAGATCGACCAGCAAGTTTCGGGGTCGCTAGACAACCATCTCGAAGATGGGTAGGTCCGCAAAGTTGGCTGCTACAGTGGGGGCCCCGGTTTAGCGACCCCCAAATCTCGTGACACTGCTGCACCCCGGTTTAGCGACCCTGTGGTCGCTAAATCGGTCGAACCCTCAATAACGACTTGTTGGGCTGTTTTCATCAGGCAATAGTGACCACCGGTTCAATATTTTCGGAGACCCCGCGTTCCTCCATACACAAAGACACAACACCGCGGAACACGTACACACACGTAACATACCGTGGGCCGATTGGAGAGTGGTGCAAACAGCCGGATGTTGTACTGCGGGCACCCCAGGGGCATGTTTGCCATGGTGACTGCGGTGGCCGCCTGCACTGAATGTGCGAGGAGGTGGAGCATCGATCGATGCACCGCACCTGCCACGCGTGTGTATCCAAGAACATGCAGGCTTCCCCACCCGTTACGAGTCCACCCAAACGCAACGAGATATAGAGGTAGATGGAGAGATGGCGGTGCGGGGGTGGGGAAGTGATGGCGCCGCCGCCCTTCTCTGAGCTTTCGTCGCATTTTGGATCGCCAAAAGAGTGCGCGGAGTCGTGTGGGTTACGGGAGGCAGCGTACTATCTTCGTACGGCAAAGGTGTTGTTCATCGAAGCACACTCCGCGAAACCAGCGCAACAGACGGACATGCGAGAAGTGTTTGGTTTAACATGATCGGTACACGCGACAGTAGCAGAATGAAATCACTAATAGCAGCGCGAGGTTCTTTGTCGCTTGGGCGTGCACGAACTTTCTCCGTGCCATGGCGTTTTTGTTTTTGTTTTTTGGAGGACGTTGCCATGAATATTTCAGTTTTTCCCCTTTCCCACCTTTGTTTTTTTTATGTTTCGCAGATCGGACTGTCTATCACGTGTTTATTTTGTGGTCTATGTAAATGTAGAGGCATGTGGAGACAGATTGTCCAGCATGCGGCAAAGACGCAAGGCACCCTCTGTACATTTGTTGTTTAGACATTTCCTAATGCCGCTGTAGGGAGCTTGGACCTTAGGTTCCACCAAATCGGAGCCGACGGGAAACAGGAGGATTTGGACGTCACTGTGCCAGAAGTTTTGTTTGCGCCCGGGTATGGTTTAAACCTTTTCTCGGTTAGGAAGGTGTCTCACAAACATGAGGTCCGTATCACCCCCAATAGTACTCAAATGATATACGGAAAACTGCGTTTCATTCGTGGCGTTTCGAGCGACTCCCTTTTTGCAACCCGCCTTCCCCACAAATCCCTGCCTTCTAGGAACGTTGCGCGTGAGATTTCCCGTGAGAGTTCCCTTGTGGCATCGGCTTTTTCAGCCGCGATGGATTCCGATTTTGAACCCCCCCTGTGTGACGGATGCTGTAGCGGGGTACTCGGCCAAGATGATTGATGTATGGGAGAGTGATGAGTGTGAGCGCGCTATGGCTGTGTTGGGTCCGGGGAAGACGCCTTTCAATGTCGGCAATGCACAAAAGGTTATTGATATTAACACGTTCCACAACCGTGCCGGCCACTTGTCCGAACCCATTTTGAGGCTGTCCGCGAAGCAGCACGGGATTACCCTCACGGGCACGATGGACAGCTGTCGATGGTGCTTGCCGGCGCGTGGGACGAGGGCGCCGGTGCCGAAGCAGGGAGGCGGGTACCGCGGCAAGAGGGCGCCGAACGACGTGTTCCACATCGACCTCTGCGGCGCGTACACAGCCACCATCGGCGGCAACCACAACATGCTAATCGGTGTGGACGCCGCCACGGGATGGATGGTCTGCTACGCCATGCGGCGTAAGTCGGAGGCGCCGGCGGTCGTCAAGCGCATGGTCGTGGATGCCGCCCACAAGGCTGGCACCGCGATCAAGTGCATCCGCTGCGACTGCGATGCCCTCTGGACCAGCGGCGACTTCAAGGAGTTCTGTGCCAGCATGGGGATCGCGCTCAAGTACTCCCCTCCCGGAGTGCAGCAGTACAACGGCGTCGTCGAGAGCGCCATCCAGCGGTGTCACAAGGTGACCAAGGCATCCCGCCGGGCCGCCCAGGAGCTGCTTGGCCCCGCAGGATTTTCTCGTGTCCGCGGACTGAGTGTGCGTGGAGATGAGCTCTGGGCGGAGTCCGAAAAAGACGCCGCGCAGAAGCTGAACCAGTCAGCATCTCCTTCCAACCCCGGGGGTGCGTTTCCACAGGAACTCTACACCGCCAAGGGAGGCCCTTTTCGCTTGATCCCGTTCTTCCAGCACGGTTTCATGTGGGAGCGGCCGGCGACGAGAATGGACGACAGCGCCGTGCCGTGTTTTTTCCTCAACGCCGGGGACAACCACGCCGACGTCACGGTTAAGGTGCTTCAGGAGAAGACCGCCCACGTGTGCTACACCTCCAATGTGGCGTGGGCGGCGCTCCCGGGTGCAATGCTTCATCAACCCCCCCGCGGGAACTCTACCCACGCCCCAGCATCTGCCCTTCGAGATCGTCGCTTCGCCACCGCCTGCTGTTGCTGCCGCCGGACCGTCGCCGTCGCGGCCGCCTCCGGGGCCTGCGTTGTAGCCCGCGCCTTCGCCTGGTGCTGCCGCTCCGCCGCTCCCGAGGCCGCCCGCGTCATCGACATCCGCCGTCCCACCGCCGCCCGCTGCTACTGCAGCCGCCGGACCGTCGTCGTCGCCGCCGCCTCCGGGGCCCGCGTTGTGGCCCTCGCCTTCGCCTGGTGCTGCCGCTCCGCCGCTCCCGAGGCCACGCGCGTCATCGACATCCACCGTCCCACCGCCGCCGGCTGCTGCTTCCGCCGCCGGAACGTCGTCGTCGCCGCCGCCTCCGGGTTCTGCGCCGCTGTCTCCGTCGCCGCCGCTCCCGGACTGGTCGTGCTCATCCATCGAGGCTCAGCAGTCCCCGCGGCAACCGCACCAAGACGGGCGGGTCAGACAGTCGGCAACCGCACGGGGGTACACGCCTCTCACGCCCCATGCTTCGAGACTGCTAGGCGAGGGGAGAGATCCCTTAATCCGAGGACGCACGAGAGCGGAAGCGCGCACCATCGCCCAGCAACAGCTTTCTGCCCTATCGGTGGACCAGCAGTTCCCATCACTTCAGGATGAGGCCGTCACCACGCCTCTCCCTCCGACCGAGATCACCATGGGGCTGCTGGCTCAAGCAAACGAAGACGTCCTCCTCTCCATGCTGGATGCTCGGCGAGTCATGAACGGCAAGACCATGCTCCGGCCAGGATTGGAGGGGGGCGGCGAGCAGGGGGGCGGAGGCGAGCAGCTCGCGAGTGAGGGCGTGGGAGAGAGCAAGGGCGAGTTGCCGGAGGTGGACACCGGAGAGGAGGGATGCATGGGGAATGGTCGGTCGGTCCTTCTGAGTGGGGCGTTCCGCTCGGACTGTGGCGCGTCTTGCGACGCGCGACGACCTCGACTCAGCTGTGCACGAGATGGAGCCGCCTCTCCTGCGACTAGACATGCCGCGCTGCCATGCCAAGGACCTCCGAGTACCCTAGACTTTCAAAGAGGCGAAGCAGAGCGAGCACAGCGAGCAGTTCATGGATGCGGCCAAGCGTGGGGTTTTGGATCACAAGAAGCAGATGCGTTTAAGATTGTTGGACCGTAGCAGCTAATAGACAACTGCATCAAGTCGAAGTTGATTTTTGATTGGAAGGTGGATGCGTTCGGCTTTCCTACGAAGGCCAAGGCTAGACTTCTTGTGAGAGGAGACATGCAGAAGGAGTACATTGACTTTGGTGATTTGTATGCACCTACTGTAGCTGAAGATAGTGCAGTTGAACAAGAGTCTTTATGGCCTGAGGCAGGCATATAGGGAGTGGTATGTGTTGCTGAAGAAGTGTCTTTTGGCTTTGGGGTTCGTGCAGTGCATGGCTGATTCGTGTGTTTTTCGTTTGGTCGAAGGGGGGGTAGTGTTGCTTCTAGTAGTACATGTAGACGATATTTTTGCAGTGGGGACGAAGGAGAGGTATGATCAACTCGGCAAGGAACTGGGAGAGTACGTGCCGGTGAATCTCTGAAGGAATTAAAGTGGTACTCCGTTTGCTCGTACGAGAGGGACAGAGAGGCAGGTAGGCTGACGATTTCACAGCAGACGTACACGGACGAGTTGGGAGAGAGATATGGTGTCGAGTGGGGGGGGGGGCATTCCTTTGCCCACCACATGGAGACTTTGGGACTTTGACGTGGACGAGCCGAGCGTAGAGCACCCGTTTCGCGCGCTGATTGGATCGCTGCTGTGGATTGTCTAGTTGACTAGGCCGGATATCGCGAATGCGGTGAGGGCAGGGGCGAGGTACTGTAGTGCACCGAAGTTGATCCACTGGAAGGCTGCACTTGAGGATATGCAGTTAGGACTAGTTCCTTTGGGATTTCTTTTCAGAGGGGGACGGTTTCAGGATTTTCTTTGATCACGTTTGCCGACGCGGATTACGCTTCACGTGCGGCAGACCGTAGGTAGGTCGTCTTCGGGAGGGGTAGTGATGTGTGCAGGAGGGGCGATTGCATGGTTCTCCAAGACTCAGAAGTGTGTGACTTTGTCCACCACGCAGGCAGAATAAGTGGCGATGGCGGACATGTGTAAGGAGATTTTGTTTTTGAGGCAGGTTTGGCGCTTCATGTTGCCGAAGGAGCTACGGCCGTGCATTCCCCTGTATGAGGATAACGAAGGTGCTATCCAGATCGCAAAACACCCGATCCCGAATTCCAACTCGAAGCACATCGACGTGCGGCATCACTTCCTTAGGCAGTAGACATCATTCACGTAGCGTCACAGTATCAGCATGCCGATTTCCTCACGAAGGCGCTACCTGAGAGAGAGTTTGTTTCCCACCGGGACTACGTGGTGAATTGGAAGTGAATAAACCGGCAGATTCTTTTTGTGTTTTGAGTTTTGTGCTTTTGTTATTTTCCGATTTTTGGTTTTGAGTTGATTTGTTTGATTTTCTGAGAAATCGAGTTCAAGATTGACCGGTGGAAATCGTCGTAAGTGTCTGGTTTAATTGTTGGCAATGATGGCAAACCGATGGGAATTCTAACGAATGTGTCTGGTTTAAAGGTCTTAGTGTTTCGACAAGAATGCAGTTTGAGATGAAGGGAATGTCTAGCACTAGATTTTGTTTCAGTCAGGTATTTGGCGTGGGAGGATAGTAAAGATGGTGTAGACTAGACTATACAAGTCCGGCTGTGATCTTGCCAATGCAGCGAGTAGGGGGGCTGTTGGATGCACTCACGGCATCGACAGATTATTGCAAGCAAGAAATTTCCGAGCAGATGGGAGTTTGGGGGTTCAGCAGTTGCCATGAATTAGATTTGGTGGTACCAACTTCGCCGCATATTACGGGAGTGAGGGTGGGGGAATGCGTGTGTCTACAACGGATTATGGTGATTGTGTTTTGTGGTTTCTCACTTCTTCTTTCTCTTAGACTCCTTTTTCTCTTTTTCCTTCTTCCTATGTATTTTCAAGTCCTTTTCCCCCCGGCTATCACGCTACCATGGCCATCACGCCACGGCTTCCACGACAATCCCGGCTATCACGCCACTCGGCTACCACGCCTTCTGGACTTCCACGTCCTTGCATAGACTAGACTATACGTTTAGACACCACGGCTATCCCGCCACCAGGTTTCCACGCCACATCCAGAGATACCATACCCAAGCTATCACGCTCCATCCCAAAGAAGAAGGCTGTCACGCCCATCATAGTTCCTATATTGTACTTCTACCGTTGGCACCTACCACGCCGCTGGCTCTTTTATATCCCAACCACGGGACCCGGCGCGCCAAGGCACCGACACACTAAGATACTCAACGAGGTCGAACACCTTCCTTGGAGAAGGCAACCAAGGAGACCTTGACAAGGTCGAACACCTTGGAGAAGACAAGGTCTCCACAAGGGGGCGAGGGCATCTGACATCGTGGGGATCGGGGGTGGACGTCCGCCTGGGTAGCTGGGATATAGACTACAAGTATGATGCAAGCATATAAGGCGATGTCTTCATGCAGATAGATGTGACGGAGACAGTGGTCCAAACCAAGCGGATCAGGGGGAGGAGGAGCAGGAGGAGAGGGAGCTGCAGCCTACCCGAAAAAAGTGTAGAAGGGCCGACCTTCTGGTTTATGGCAAGCTCACTCACTACTTTGTATGACTGCCGTTGGAGTGGCGAAGGTTGGAACACAAGCACACCGACGATTCGAAGATTCGAATATCCACTTAAGTTTATACCAAGGCAGTGAGGCACAGCATCGATGATCGAGAGAGCCAGTGGGGGCTCCGCGAATTGACGTGCGGCGAAATTGTGTTTTTAATCCCGCAAATCCGCCCGCCTCTGCACTCCCTCTGCATGGATCAACGGATAACCCGATCCGCGGGGGACAGGTGTAGGTGTGCGTCTCGCGTCATCCCACCCCTTTCCTCTCTCTTGCCACGCTGCAAGCCCATGTTTAACATACGAAAAAGCTGCGACAGGTGCAGCCATCTAAAAAGGAAATGCGACGGTTCAACTCCATGCAGGTAAGCTGTGCGTCTCTCGTCTCTCGGAGTTCACGCCTCCTGCATTGCAGCGGCAGTAGCAACGATGGATGATTCCATGCCATACTGCTGTATCTGCTGATTGCTTTTCGCCGTTCCTTTCCTGCTTTTCGGAGCTCTTGTATTGAGAGGTTCGATCGGCCTCCGATATGTTAAGTACAGCGCACGTAGACAAGTTGTCTGTAACCACGCCATTGCTCCTACTGTGCTGAGGCTGACCCATCATAGGTCTGTGTGGGCGTATGTGTATATTTGAACACACGTGTGCAGCAGGTAGGTGCGCATCGAACGCTCCCCACTATCGCTGGCTGACCAATGAACACACCTCAGTCTGGAATTTTATCCCCAACGGGATAACAAACGCGAACACGAACATCTTTGTAAACAAACAAAGGAGAAGCGAGGGTTGCACCGACCACGACAGCGGGGGGGATCAGGATTTGGACGATAGCCGTTGCGTGCTCTGCAATGCATACGCATACAGCAGTTTCGTGAAGGAGGAGATTCAGCACATCCAGACAGCATTGTTGCTGCTCTCTTGTTCCCATGCTAGCTAGCATCTTTGTCCTGCTTCGAAGTAGGAGAAGACTGAGTACCACCAGGCAAATATTGATGCTGCAGCATTTCGTTAGAACGGCGTCAGGGCCCTGTGCTGGGTAGGTTTCTGTCCGACTCGCTCCGCGCTGGAGAGATTGCTACCACACTGTAGCTTCATCTAGTCATCTATAACTCTTTGATTAGGCCTGTCCTCCATCGGCCGTTTTATTTTCGATTTAGATACACAAACTTTATTTCTATACTAATTTCAAGTAATTCCACCTTCTTATTCTCCGTCATACAAGCAAAACGGCCGATGGAGGACAGGCCTATCTTTGATATGCACGTCTCTCTAAACCCACCGCACTTGCTCTGAAGGTCTCAAGTATCGAAAGCCTCACTCTCTTCCACACCATGATCTCAACTGTGGTTTCATTTTCTCGCAAATAGGTGGGTGCCCGTCCTTCACCTTGCTCTTCATTGGGAACCCGCCGTCATTGCCATCCGCATGGTGCGGGTGGGTGCATGAGCTACAGTTAGGGGTGTCAAACCAGCAAATTTCCTATAGGAAAAAGTGACCTCGGATCTTCCTGATGGAAAATCGACTGACCAATAAAATTGCACGGAACGGGCCGAAAGCTCCCTAAGAACACCGACGCGCACGAGCGAGGGCGCCGCTGGTGTGTGTGCTCTGATGTGCCCTGCTGTGGGACACAACACAACACCATGGCGCGGTCCCACTCTGGAACACATGCCTCATGACAGACCCGAGCAGCAGCCGGGCGGTGAAGCCACGCAAACACCTGCCGCCGCCGCTGCTGCTGCTGAAAAAAACAGCAGCAGCAGCAGCAGCGGCGGCGGCGGCGGCCGCGAGGTTGAGCCGCCGATCATCCGCGCGCATGGTCTGAGGTGTGTTCTACACATCCTGCACATCTCTATCACTGCGGGCATGACCAGCGTTTACTTTATGGGCCCGCTTGGTAAGGGTTCCTGGCATGAGTAGGCGCGCCACCATGTTTCCTCCCTTCTTGGTATTGTTTGGTACAACACAAGCCGCTCGGAATCCTTTTCTGTGACACCGCCGGTGCCCTACAGAATACTTCTGTAGCACCCTCGCACAATACAGAATAGTTCTGTGAGGTTCTGTATCACTCTCGTACAATACAGAATAGTTNCACACCAGACCCACAGAAGATCGTTTGTGCGAACCTCGAGAGGGAACATGAGCGCTGTTGTTGCGGGCCTCGACAACTCCACGCCGCAAGACACAAACACAAACACGAATGCCGGGGCGGGTGAAGGTGGCGGGGTTGAGACAAAAGAAGGCACACCCGAGAGCAATGAGCAGCATGACTCGAACGTGGTAGACGTTGCCGGAACGTGCCCGTACTCAGCCCGAAACCAGTCTACGGCAAGGGCGGAGTGGTAGCGGAGGTGGCTGACGATATCGCTGCCGCGGTGGATGCTTTCACCGTGCCGACCGGTTTCGTGAGAAAGGGATCCCGCGTCGACTCGTTCAAGTACTCGCTCGGAGTGTACGTGGAGCAGAGCGCAGGCGCCAAACACAAGTACTACTGCCTGGCTAGCGCAGGGTGTCGGAGGGGTAGGAAGGAGATTCCGTGTCCACGGGGAGACCGCAGCAACGTCAACACGCACCTCAAGAGAAAGCACGGCATGCAGGGGACGGAAGGAGCGAAGAAGGACGCCACCAGGAAGGAGGGGCAAGGAACCATCAGCTCGGCGTTGGTCGCGAGCGCCAACTCGAGCCTCGGAAGGAACAGGTAGTTTTTTTTTCTTTTTTTCTTCACAGGTGGAACTAGTCTTCGTGTGTTTGTGTGCGAGTGTGTTGTGTGCATGAGGGGGTTGAGCACCTGCTGGGTGCTATATACATGTACTGCTGTTGCCTGCGCGTCTTTTTTTGCCTTTTTGGTTACTCACGCCCTTCTCGCATACCCCACCTCCTGCGTTTGTTGCGTGATGCTGCTGCGATTTTTTCTTTTTTTTTGGTCCTTGTTTTTCAGAGTTCGCGAGCTCTTGTGCGGGAAAATGGTCGTCGACAAGTTCCCCCCTTCTCCTTCTCTGGGGACTCGTGGAAGGATGTGCTGACCTTCTTGGTGGCGACTAACATCTCCACCAGGACGTGCTTGATGCGCCTGCTAGGAAGCGCCGGATACGGTGTGTCATCGGCGGTCCCATACCATCGACACCGAGGTGGATCAGAAACTGAACGATTGCTGGGCGGACATCAAAGCGAGGGCGTCGGAGGCTGCGCGGAAGAAACACTCGGCACGTGCGACCGCAGAGGGCGGCCAACCACCGCTGAAGCGCCTCTCCACGCCGGCCACGAAAGCCAGGCCTAGGTTTGCTTCCCTGGCACGAAACAGGGTCCGCGGCGATACTGAAGACGTGGGCGAGGGCGACAGCGAGGACAAGGTGCTCATGCAGCAGGTCAGCCAAGAACTCGAGCGCTTTCAGGCGCTGTACATGACGGCAGAAGAGGTGAGCTTCCTTGCAGATTATATGAGAGTGTTTTTAATAATTTTAATTTTGAGCTTCAAGCAGGAGGGAGGGCCGGAAGGATCTGAGTTCACGGCGGTCACAGGTCAAAGTAGGGATGCGAACTGCAAGAAGTTTCAGTTTGACTTTTTTTCCCGGTGGCGCAAAGTTGCACAAATGTGTTTCGTGTCGTTTTCTTATCTTCGTCCCTGCCACCCTTGGATCTGTACTGCTGCTGTGCAGTTGGACACGCGGGAAGTACTGCCTTGGTGGCGAAACACTGGTCGCAAGATGTTTCCGTACCTGGCGCCAGTAGCGCAGCAGGTGCTTGGAAACCAGGCGGGTGCCGCGCAGGTAGAGCGCGACTTCAGTAGTTGCGTTAATCTCCTCACGCGCAACAGGAGCCGCATCGACACCTACTGGGTAGAGATGGTGATGTTCCTCCACGTCAACTACAAGCGTATCCCCGCGTTCAAGGACATTCCCATGATTGCCGCCAAGGATATCAGGACATGTCTGCCGCCACGGTTCAACGGGGGGGATGCTGACCTGGCGGCCGCTGAGGCTGCCTTCGACGTGATTGAGAACACCAACAACTCGGACATCGGCGTGTGAAAGTCGCGAGCGTTTCATAAGTAGCCTCTTTCTTTGACTCCGTAAGAAGGACGTAGCAGTCAAAGTAGGTTGAGTCGGAGTCGCATGGGAAGGCTAAGGCTTCTGCTCTTGGGCTGTTGTGTTACCGAACTTCAGTTTCGCGGTCGTAAACTAAGTATAGCGTGGCTACGGCAGTTGATTTGATTTGAACGATGGGCTAATTTCAGTGCTGGGTACGATTTTGTTCAATGCTATAGCGCCCTTGCCTCTCTTCCTGTACCTTCGTCGTAAACACGCACGTCGTCAAACTCGTCATGTTCTGTAGGGTAATTCACGGGTACCGCGTAATTACCGGGGGCTCTTCTGTAGACACAGAGTTCTGTAACACCCCCTGTACCCTACAGAATATCTCTGTGCCGCCCCCTGTATCCTACAGAATAGTTCTGTAACACCCTCGCACAATACAGAATAGTTCTGTAGCACCCTCGCACAATACAGAATAGTTCTGTGGGTTCTGTAGCACCCTCGTACAACACAGAATAGTTCTGTGAGGTTCTGTAGCACCCTCGCACAATACAGAATAGTTCTGTGAGTTCTGTGACACCCTTGGTACCCTACAGAATAGTTCTGTGAGTTCTGTGACACCGCCGGTGCCCTACAGAATACTTCTGTAGCACTCTCGCACAATACAGAATAGTTCTGTGAGGTTCTGTAACCCCCTCGCACAATACAGAATAGTTCTGTGAGTTCTGTGACACCCCCGGTACCCTACAGAGAGTAAATCTTCAGCGGTGGAAAAGGGTAGTGGAGGAGCAGTTCCCGAATGCCAAGCCATGGCTCATCAAGATCATCAGACCTGCTGAGACGCGTTGGATGGTGGATACGGACAGGGCCAAACTCCTCTGTGACCGCTGGGAGCAGGTTTCGTGGCTTTTTTGCAAGTACGCTGCTCGCTACCTCAATAAGACCACGTTCAGAAACTACTGGCTCCAATCGGTGTATTTGCTTCGAGACCCTATACTTCGTGTGCATGTCATGTTGACGGCAAGGCTCGGGGAGCTGTTGTTCGACTGGGCGTACAATTGGATCCGTGGCAAGGGCGGGTTCTTTCTGAAGTGCGAAGGGGTCGGTCGGCGGCTGTTTCCTGGGATGCGTTTGGTGGAGGTGGCTGATTTCTCTCGCCTGCTGCTGCTCAAGTTGGAGACTATCCGCAAGGATCCCGAGACGTACTTCGCGGCGGTCCTAGAACTAAACTACCCTATCTGAACCATTGGTGAGTAGTGGCGGGCCTGAGTATTGTAGTTTGGAACAGAATGGGGTTCTGGCGAGAAGGCAACCGCACTCACAGCTGCTGCTGCAGCTGTGTGAACGGCCGTGGTTGTTTGCAACATCGCGAATTTTCACGCTTTTTTCTGGTTGCTCCCTCCCGCATTTCTCCGCACCCTCTTGCTGCTACTACCTCCCTCTGCTTGTCGTGCTGATACCTCTCACTGCTTGTAACGGCTGGTGCTTGTCGCCAGTACTGCTGCTGCTGCTTCTGCTGTTTTGCCATGGTGGCGCTAATGCTTTTACCGCTTGGAACTGGTGCTGTCGTTGTCATGCTGCAGGAGAAATTGTTCACGACGAACTGCAGCGAGGATAAGGGTTTTTTTGCATTGTTCAAGAAGCGATGGATCAAGTGGATGGAGCGGCATCAGCAGCTACCTCTGAGCATGGCGCGGATTGGATGCCCCTCGTTTTACGCTCGGACAGGAATCATGGCGGAAGGGGCTGTAGAGCAGGCGGTGGGGCCGAAGTTTGCGCGTGCCTTCCTCCACGTAGCTTGGCCTGGTCTATACGACGGAGAGCCGCGCACGGAGAGGGAGAGGGAATTCCGAACGCAGCTCGTGAAGTATTCGGGAGAAATCACCGAGGCAAGAAGGAAAGATGAGTTGACGTTCGGGCTGTTTTCATGCATTGATAGCGACCTTTCTGTGAGGAATGAACTTGAGCAGTATGCGAATTCTGGGTGGAGTGACAAGGAGGTTGACCAGGGTGCACCGAAGGGTACGTCAGCGTTGGCGTGTCTGTTCGATTATCCCCTCCTGTACAAGTTGGTGTGTCACCGATTCTACTTCGTTCCCATTCACCAGCAGTTTATCGAGGCCTTCTTTTCGAAGACGACTCATGCGCACAGAAAACGGACATGGCTGAGATGGATATTGTTCGTGTTGGGGGGTGGAACTCAGCCGAGTCTAGAGATATCGTGTGCGCCGATGCGACGGGCGAAAATATCCGTGCCGCTGGCATCAAGGTTTTGGAGAAGGCAAAGGAGGCAAAGGCTGTCTCCCACGCACGACAACCGGCCGAACCCTGGAGCAGAAAAAGAGTATTGGAACCGGAAGCTGCAGAGGATTTGCTGGTTGCGTAGAGAAGGAAGGGAGTCGGCGGCCGCGGGTGACCGCAACAGAAATGGAGTCGGAGTAGTGTGGACGGCGGTTGAGTGACGTGGCTTTTCAAGTCGGAAAAAAATCAATGGCGAAACATCGTTTTTTCGCTCTGCCTCTCCATGTGCACCACCACCATGTGCACAAAACGAAGGCTGCACCTCAGACGGCTGCAGGCAGATACGGACAGAGTCGAGTACCGGCTGCGTCGTTGCTGTCTCTCACACCATGATTTTCAACGCTCTTGTTGAGTGCGTGCTCACGCGCACGAGGACGCATAAAGAATCACAATTTTTCACCTTCAACTTCAACTTCAGTCACACGCCAAAGACCTCACGCGGAGGACGAACGAAGCCACCGAAAACAGCCCTCCGCACTACCACCCGAATAGGCACGAGAGTATCTTCGCAGAGCGCAAGTATCAACACCAACGAAGCGATTCAGCTCTCACACCCGCTCTCTTCCGCCGAGTTGCCCCCCCCATCTGCCTCCTGGGCTTTCCATGTCTGCGTCCTGTTGCGACCACTCGTCCTGATAGGTGCAGGAGGAGTCGGCGGTGCCTTTGCTTTCCCTTTCCTTTTCCCGCCCTCCCCCTTTGCACCCCCTTTGCGCTGCCTTTTATCCGCTCCCTCTGCGGCGGCCTCCGCCTCGGTGTTTACCATCGGGGTTGGGTTTTCGTCGCTTGGCAACGACGTTGTAAAACAAGCCGTCCCCCTCGGTGTTTGCCATCGGGATTGGGTTTTCGTCGCTTGGCAAAGACGCTGTAAAACAAGCCAATTCACTTCGTGAACTCGGGCAACCAGGTTACCGTTTTTTTTTTTTTTACCTCCGTTTTTTTTTTTGGCGGTAACCATAATGGTGTTCGAGTAGATCATGTTGTGCGGGGTGGAGAACCCTCGCTCCGCGCAAGGGGGATGATCGCACCACGTTGTGTTAAAATGGTCAAGCACCCTCGAGGCAGTTAC